AATTTTATACGGTACTACCCGATAGCTTCCGAACTTATCCGATAGGACCGACAGAAAAAAAAAAAAAAAAAAAAACCGCCCGCCGACCCAAATTTTTAGATTCCATGTTATGCAAAACGAAAAATTAACTTTGCGTGGCCTTAAACGAAGCATTATCTGGAAATATGGAAATACTGATCCCATCAAAGTTCACTGTAGTAGATGAGGATTATGAGTTTAAAACCATAGAACTTGGAAATGATTCAAACGAAAATCTAGAAAATGTCGGAATGTCAGCCACTCAATCATGTAGAGAATATCAATTTGACTTAGGAGATATGATCATAAGATTTATTGATAGTCCAGGAATAGGAGACACCAGAGGAAGGAAAACTTTGAAAATATTCTCAAATATATTAGCAATTACGAATATCTGAATGGGATTTGTATCCTTCTCAAGCCAAATACTGCGCGATTGACTATATTATTTAAATTTTGTATACAGGAATTATTATCTCATTTGCATAAGAGTTCCAAAGATAATATCGTTTTCTGTTTCACTAATTGCAGAGGAACGCATTATCGTCCAGGTGATATATTTCCAGCACTTAAAGAACAGCTTCGTAATATTGAACAAAGATCTGTGTTGAAATAAAAATGAACAAAGAAACTATGTACTGTCTTGACAATGAATCATTTCGGTTTTTAGCTGCATTCAAAAATGGTGTGAAATTTTGTAAAATTGATGAAACAGGCTTTACAGAAAGTTGGAAAAGATCCGTCGCTGAATCTGTAAGACTCTTTGAATATCTTTGCCTCCGTGATCCTCACAAAGTGAAGTTAGAAGGATAGTATTACATCTTGCTAAACCTCTTGCAAGCATAGAACAGCTTATTCAAACAAATGTTAATCTGATTAAAGATCGACAAAAAGAGATTGATAGTTGCACTGAATTTATTCAGGATCTTAAAAAGAGATTATATATTCCACAACAATACCTTGACTCAAAAAAACATAGAATGATATGCACTGGTTGCAATTACGAATGCGTAAGCGGAAAAATAAACTACAAATCCCATTGTCATGAACATTGTTATTTGAATGAGGTTGAGCCTGGACTTCTTAATAATGCTGCATTATTGAATTGTTGGGATATTCAAAAAAATGGAACTTGTTGCGTATGTGGCTGCAATTATGGGAAACATATGCATATAACTTATGAATTTGATTACAAAACTAAAAATATTATTGATGAAAGTGTGGAAAGACAGATTAATGATAAAAAAGCATTTCAACACACAAAAGAAAGTACCATAAGAGATTGCGAACAAAGACGAAAGCAACTAGAAAGTGAACAAAAGATTATAACTAAAATTAATATAATATTTGTGAAATTTCTAAGACAAAGTGCAATAGCCACATTTAATGATTCATATTCTGAATATCTAGATCATTTCATACGTGAAGAAAGGATCAAACATAATGCAATTATTGAAGGGCCTGAAAAGACAAAAAGAGAATATCAAGAAAAAATTGAGGTTATAAAGAAAGCACTCGCAGCTAATGATTCTTCTGAAGATTTAATCACCCAGAAGATATTGTTAGATATGAAAAGGAATTGTATAATTTGAAAATCAATGGGGGAATGTTGAAAAATTTGAAAATTATTGCAGAACGTGGTCAAGCTTTTGCATTTAAAAGTTTCAATTTAAGATAAATAGTCATAGAAATGCGCGCAAATCAGAGTCTAAATATTTTACTCGACTCTTTAAGCGTTAAGATTATTTTATGCTTATATTATGCTAGTTACACAGTCTTAATGCTTTGTAATGTTTCAACACAAATTTTATGCACTATGCTATTTTTTTTTTTGGAATAAAATAGATAATAAAATATAAGTAATAAGCTTATGCGAAAACATTGATACAAAAGCTAATTGTAGCCGAAAAATATTTCAATGTGACTAGTTTGTAATATTACAATGTGGTTGTATATAACATAGTTATTAATTAAAAATCGCTTATAACTCGAGATTTTAACTGCTTCGCACTGGTTAAAAATGTTTACTGCGGAATTTAATTATACAAACATTAACTCAATACATCGTATCTAGATTAAGTAATTTACTATTTATCTGCTGAATTTTTAGAATGATGCAGAGTATTATTGTAAAAGTATGAAATAGATTTTAAGTTTTATCAACATGATTATGTAAATTGATTTCTTTATCTAAAGACGTTCTGCAATTTTCCTTAATTTTTGCGGGTTGATTTATTGTTTAATTATAAAAAGATATGATGAAAAATATTTTAAAATATTATATAATTAATTGGTATTTAAAAGAATGGTCAATTTATTCTTATTTGATTCTAATATGTTATCTACATAAACTACGGAAAATTTCTTTAGTTATCTGTTACATAAGTACAGAGAATTATTTAAGCTACAACTACGTCATTACATTCATTACATTTTTGGAGTATGATATGTATATACGTACACTTTTTTTTTTTATATGGATATATGAGAGCACAATTTACAATTTAAATTTAGAAAAATCCGAAAAAATAAATAATATCTTACCTTTATAGCGTTAATTAGGTAAAAAATCCTATTTTTTAATGTGGTTAATTCATTGTTGTCGTGATATATAACAACTAATATACGAATTTAGACAATATTGTAATAATGGTAGAAACATTTTCTAAAGACCTAGTTGAAGATTTTAAAAAGTTATATGAAACCAAAGAACATTATGACACAATTATCATTGTTGGAGAAGAACCAAATGTTGAACGAATTTATGCCCATTTTATAATTCTTTGTACCAGATCAACTTATTTTCGTAGCGCATTATCTGATAAATGGGCAGAAAGAAAAGAAGGTTATTTGGTTTTACAAAAACCTAATATAAGTGCATTAACTTTTAAACTTATTCTTAAGTAAGCAATATATTTGTTAAAATTTTATTACACCGTTTAAGATTTTAATTATATATATATATAGGTTTTTGTATTGTGGAATAGTCGATTTAACCAATCAAGAATATGAAGCAATCTTAAATCTTTTAGTCGCTGCAGATGAACTTTTAATTCAAAGACTTACTGATTTCGTTCAGGATTTTTTAATCAAAAATAATTCTGCATTCTTACAACAATGTCCTATTAAAATGCTTCATTATATTGTCAATAATGATCAATTTAACGAACTTAAGAATGCTTATTTGGATATCTTTTGTAAAACTCCTCATTTATTATTTGATTCGGATAAATACCCTTCATTGGAGAAAGATGCACTGAAATTAATTCTCAAGTGTGATAACCTCGATATGAAAGAAAGTGATATCTGGAAAAAACTAGTTGAATGGGGAATCGCACAACATACAATGCATGAAGGAGACATGATGTGTCAAGACACTAAGTATGATGACTTGGATATATTAAGGGAGACATTACAAGAATTAATTAAACTCATTAGATTTTATCAGATGGATCGTGAGGCGTTTATTCCTGATGTATGGGAATATGTGAACATCCTACCTAACGATTTAGTTAAGGATGTACTACGTTGTTATTTAGACTTAAATGCTAAACCATTATATCAAACATTTTTGATTAGATGGGGCAACTTTAAAATCGACTCAGTATCAATCAATAAGGAGATTGCACTATTATTGACGAAATGGATAGGCAAAAAACCTAGAAATGATAAGATATCAGGGTTTCAATACAATTTTAATATTCTTTTTAGAAGCAGCTTGGATGGTCTCTCATCACAAACATTTCATCGAAAATGTGATAACAAAGGAGCAACAATTGTTGTTGCGAGGATTCAAAATTCAAATTTCCTTATTGGAGGTTACAATCCACTTGATTGGATTGGTAACCAAGTATGGAAACAAACAACAGATAGCTTCATATTTATAAATTTAGGGTAGGTTTTTGTTTTAACTTTCCAAGTAGTACTGTTATTTTGAACTTGTAAATCAGGACCTTCTCCGAAACTTGGACCTTGATTATCATCGCAATAAATAGCAAAACCACTATAATTATGGTTAACGCGTGATATTGTTGCTTGTTTGAGTTGATTAGGATCTATTAAAAATATGAAGCTATCTGTTGTTTGTTTCCATACTTGGTTACCAATCCAATCAAGTGGATTGTAACCTCCAATAAGGAAATTTGAATTTTGAATCCTCGCAACAACAATTGTTGCTCCTTTGTTATCACATTTTCGATGAAATGTTTGTGATGAGAGACCATCCAAGCTGCTTCTAAAAAGAATATTAAAATTGTATTGAAACCCTGATATCTTATCATTTCTAGGTTTTTTGCCTATCCATTTCGTCAATAATAGTGCAATCTCCTTATTGATTGATACTGAGTCGATTTTAAAGTTGCCCCATCTAATCAAAAATGTTTGATATAATGGTTTAGCATTTAAGTCTAAATAACAACGTAGTACATCCTTAACTAAATCGTTAGGTAGGATGTTCACATATTCCCATACATCAGGAATAAACGCCTCACGATCCATCTGATAAAATCTAATGAGTTTAATTAATTCTTGTAATGTCTCCCTTAATATATCCAAGTCATCATACTTAGTGTCTTGACACATCATGTCTCCTTCATGCATTGTATGTTGTGCGATTCCCCATTCAACTAGTTTTTTCCAGATATCACTTTCTTTCATATCGAGGTTATCACACTTGAGAATTAATTTCAGTGCATCTTTCTCCAATGAAGGGTATTTATCCGAATCAAATAATAAATGAGGAGTTTTACAAAAGATATCCAAATAAGCATTCTTAAGTTCGTTAAATTGATCATTATTGACAATATAATGAAGCATTTTAATAGGACATTGTTGTAAGAATGCAGAATTATTTTTGATTAAAAAATCCTGAACGAAATCAGTAAGTCTTTGAATTAAAAGTTCATCTGCAGCGACTAAAAGATTTAAGATTGCTTCATATTCTTGATTGGTTAAATCGACTATTCCACAATACAAAAACCTATATATATATATAATTAAAATCTTAAACGGTGTAATAAAATTTTAACAAATATATTGCTTACTTAAGAATAAGTTTAAAAGTTAATGCACTTATATTAGGTTTTTGTAAAACCAAATAACCTTCTTTTCTTTCTGCCCATTTATCAGATAATGCGCTACGAAAATAAGTTGATCTGGTACAAAGAATTATAAAATGGGCATAAATTCGTTCAACATTTGGTTCTTCTCCAACAATGATAATTGTGTCATAATGTTCTTTGGTTTCATATAACTTTTTAAAATCTTCAACTAGGTCTTTAGAAAATGTTTCTACCATTATTACAATATTGTCTAAATTCGTATATTAGTTGTTATATATCACGACAACAATGAATTAACCACATTAAAAAATAGGATTTTTTACCTAATTAACGCTATAAAGGTAAGATATTATTTATTTTTTCGGATTTTTCTAAATTTAAATTGTAAATTGTGCTCTCATATATCCATATAAAAAAAAAAAGTGTACGTATATACATATCATACTCCAAAAATGTAATGAATGTAATGACGTAGTTGTAGCTTAAATAATTCTCTGTACTTATGTAACAGATAACTAAAGAAATTTTCCGTAGTTTATGTAGATAACATATTAGAATCAAATAAGAATAAATTGACCATTCTTTTAAATACCAATTAATTATATAATATTTTAAAATATTTTTCATCATATCTTTTTATAATTAAACAATAAATCAACCCGCAAAAATTAAGGAAAATTGCAGAACGTCTTTAGATAAAGAAATCAATTTACATAATCATGTTGATAAAACTTAAAATCTATTTCATACTTTTACAATAATACTCTGCATCATTCTAAAAATTCAGCAGATAAATAGTAAATTACTTAATCTAGATACGATGTATTGAGTTAATGTTTGTATAATTAAATTCCGCAGTAAACATTTTTAACCAGTGCGAAGCAGTTAAAATCTCGAGTTATAAGCGATTTTTAATTAATAACTATGTTATATACAACCACATTGTAATATTACAAACTAGTCACATTGAAATATTTTTCGGCTACAATTAGCTTTTGTATCAATGTTTTCGCATAAGCTTATTACTTATATTTTATTATCTATTTTATTCCAAAAAAAAAAATAGCATAGTGCATAAAATTTGTGTTGAAACATTACAAAGCATTAAGACTGTGTAACTAGCATAATATAAGCATAAAATAATCTTAACGCTTAAAGAGTCGAGTAAAATATTTAGACTCTGATTTGCGCGCATTTCTATGACTATTTATCTTAAATTGAAACTTTTAAATGCAAAAGCTTGACCACGTTCTGCAATAATTTTCAAATTTTTCAACATTCCCCCATTGATTTTCAAATTATACAATTCCTTTTCATATCTAACAATATCTTCTGGGTGATTAAATCTTCAGAAGAATCATTAGCTGCGAGTGCTTTCTTTATAACCTCAATTTTTTCTTGATATTCTCTTTTTGTCTTTTCAGGCCCTTCAATAATTGCATTATGTTTGATCCTTTCTTCACGTATGAAATGATCTAGATATTCAGAATATGAATCATTAAATGTGGCTATTGCACTTTGTCTTAGAAATTTCACAAATATTATATTAATTTTAGTTATAATCTTTTGTTCACTTTCTAGTTGCTTTCGTCTTTGTTCGCAATCTCTTATGGTACTTTCTTTTGTGTGTTGAAATGCTTTTTTATCATTAATCTGTCTTTCCACACTTTCATCAATAATATTTTTAGTTTTGTAATCAAATTCATAAGTTATATGCATATGTTTCCCATAATTGCAGCCACATACGCAACAAGTTCCATTTTTTTGAATATCCCAACAATTCAATAATGCAGCATTATTAAGAAGTCCAGGCTCAACCTCATTCAAATAACAATGTTCATGACAATGGGATTTGTAGTTTATTTTTCCGCTTACGCATTCGTAATTGCAACCAGTGCATATCATTCTATGTTTTTTTGAGTCAAGGTATTGTTGTGGAATATATAATCTCTTTTTAAGATCCTGAATAAATTCAGTGCAACTATCAATCTCTTTTTGTCGATCTTTAATCAGATTAACATTTGTTTGAATAAGCTGTTCTATGCTTGCAAGAGGTTTAGCAAGATGTAATACTATCCTTCTAACTTCACTTTGTGAGGATCACGGAGGCAAAGATATTCAAAGAGTCTTACAGATTCAGCGACGGATCTTTTCCAACTTTCTGTAAAGCCTGTTTCATCAATTTTACAAAATTTCACACCATTTTTGAATGCAGCTAAAAACCGAAATGATTCATTGTCAAGACAGTACATAGTTTCTTTGTTCATTTTTATTTCAACACAGATCTTTGTTCAATATTACGAAGCTGTTCTTTAAGTGCTGGAAATATATCACCTGGACGATAATGCGTTCCTCTGCAATTAGTGAAACAGAAAACGATATTATCTTTGGAACTCTTATGCAAATGAGATAATAATTCCTGTATACAAAATTTAAATAATATAGTCAATCGCGCAGTATTTGGCTTGAGAAGGATACAAATCCCATTCAGATATTCGTAATTGCTAATATATTTGAGAATATTTTCAAAGTTTTCCTTCCTCTGGTGTCTCCTATTCCTGGACTATCAATAAATCTTATGATCATATCTCCTAAGTCAAATTGATATTCTCTACATGATTGAGTGGCTGACATTCCGACATTTTCTAGATTTTCGTTTGAATCATTTCCAAGTTCTATGGTTTTAAACTCATAATCCTCATCTACTACAGTGAACTTTGATGGGATCAGTATTTCCATATTTCCAGATAATGCTTCGTTTAAGGCCACGCAAAGTTAATTTTTCGTTTTGCATAACATGGAATCTAAAAATTTGGGTCGGCGGGCGGTTTTTTTTTTTTTTTTTTTTTCTGTCGGTCCTATCGGATAAGTTCGGAAGCTATCGGGTAGTACCGTATAAAATT